TCGCGGAGGTTAGCGAATACTTTGAGATTTTGTGGCACACTTTTTGGCCAACCATTTTGAATATATGTGTCAACTCGTTGAAGCAGTGGATCATCACGAGACTGTTTTTGGAGTTCCTAGCTGTGACTAACCCATCTAAGTTAATTTCAAGAATGTCATTTTCAGTTTCTGTGTTTTCTGTATTGTGTACAAGACGACTTACTACCTTGCATGTGCTCTACATCAATGTTGTACTGCTAAAGCTTCACGTTCGCTTGTTGAGTATTTACGCTCGGTTGGAGACAATGTCCAAGAAGTGAATGCAACTGGCTTCTCTTCATCATTAACTATTTGTGACAAAACTCCTCAGATTTCATATTCCGAGGCATCTGTAGTAACATATGTTTTAGCATCAGGGTTGAAGTGTGCGAGAGCCGGTGGTGACGAAATCTGGTTCTTGAGTTTGTCGAATGCGCACTGCTGATCCTTAGTCCATTCCCATGGCTCATCTTTGCGTAACAGTTTATGTAGGGGTTCAGCTATGTGTGCGTAATATGGCACAAACTTTCAATAGAAGTTTGTCGTACCAGGAAATGATTGCAATTCCTTGACATTGGCAGGCTCGGGGAGATCCATAATTGCTTTCGTATTGGACTGTAATGGTAACACACCAGACGCTGATACTCTGTAGCCAACAAAATCAATCTCATCTTTCGAAAACTCACACTTATCTCTATTGAGTGTTAAATTGTACTTTCTCAGTTTGTTTAGCACTGTGTTAAGATGCTGGTCATGTTCTGCTTGGTTTGCACCATGGATTGCAACATCGTCAATCAGGTGTACAGCTCCCTCACAGTCACTAAGAACAGAAGCAAGTATCTTTTGGAAGGCGCTTGGTGCTGATGAAAGTCCATATGGCATGCGCTTATACTGGAAGACACCCTCATGTGTTATAAATGCTGTGAGGTTCCAACTGTCTTCGGCAAGTAGTACTTGTAGGTAGCTACGACGCAAATCCAATTTCGTGAATACTCTGGATCCATGAAATTCGGAGGTGAGTTCACCAAGGTCAGGTAGGGGATACTTATCTGGTATAATGGCTTTGTTTACATCTTGCAAGTCTACACAAAGTCTAATATCACCGGACTTTCTGCATGCAACAACTAAATTTGAAATCCACAGAGAAGTATCAATGCGTTCAATAATGTCCAAATTCTCAAGACCACTCAATTCCTTTGAAACTTCCTCGCGTACTGTTAGCAGTAATCGTCAACGTTTCTGTGACACTGGAGAGATGTTTGTGGTTGGTGCGCAAAAGTAGTAATTTTCCCAAATCCAGAAAATAATTCAGGAAAGTTGTCAACAGCATCCACTGAGTTGACAATTGTACCATGTCTACTTATCTGAAATCAAAGTTGGTCAAATAAATCAATTCCCATTAGATTACTACCACTTTTTGTGACATAAAACTTAAAGTTCTGCACAGTTTGTTCATCATACTGTACTGGAAGATGTACTACACCAATAACAGGAATGTTACCTCCATTGTAGCTGGTTAACATTTGTCTAGTTGGTAGCAGTGGTATAGCTTTGAAGTGTTGTTTGTACAATTCCTCATTCAAGATGGAAACCTTAGCACCAAGGTCTAGCACTAGGTTGAGTCTAATCCCATTTATTATCACAGCACAATTTTTGAAACTATTGTCAATAGCATTAACTTCGGAAACAGTATATATACTTGTTCTATATCCGAGTCCTTAATGGGTGTATCCACTTGTTTAACCTTTGTAGTTGCATAGCTTCTACACATTCGTGCAAAGTGACCAATTTTATGACAATTTCTGCACTCTTGTCTGTTGGCTGGGCAGTCTGAGTGACGTGTAGTATGGTTATTAGTACCACAGTTGCGGCAACCTGAAAGTTTATTTTGTGTGGCCCGATTCCTATTACGGTAGTTGTTTTGAGTACGATTTCTGTTGTGCTGTCTCTTGTTAATACCTTGTATTTTGGGTTTTTCTTTAGTTTTACTTTTACTGGGTTTGGTTCGAGTGACACTGTGTCAGACGCAATCACATGTGAATCAGATAAAGAGTTTTCAATTTGTTCAGCTAAAGTTGTGGCTTTATGCAAAGTTAACGTGTCTGGCTCCATTAGTAACCTTTCTCTAATACGTGGAGTATGCGTTTTCTCAATCAGCTGATCTCTGATCATTTCATCTGTGAGTGTACCAAAATTACATTTGGCAGCATGTTCGTTCAAAGTAGCAGCATAACTCGATATTGACTCACCAGGACGCTGTCCACGCTGACGAAATCGATGCCTTTCCAGGATAACGGATTTTCGAGGACCAAAGTGCGACTCGAGTTTATCCACGACAACCTTATACGTAGGACAATCGCCAAGAGACTGGAAGATTCGCTGTCCCTCGATCCCTAAACAATGTAGTAATACTGCACGTTTTCTGCCGTCAGCAACGTCATCTCTGTCTAGATTGGTGGCAGTCATATACGTTTTAAATCCGGAATACCATCTCAGCCATGGAATCGCTGGCTCACCTGGACTAGCTAAGAAAGGTGTAGTGGTGGAAGATGAAATTCAGCCATCCTCGTCACCAAAATGTGGTGTCGGGCCCAATAAACACGCAGACGACAGTTTCAAAGTACAAGGAATGTTTACTTGTATAATAACTAACAGAACTCCAAACAAGATGGCAGCTCTGTCCCAGAATCCCATCTGTTGCTAAGCAACCCCAACTGATGGCGGGAATATGGCCATGCAAAGTACGATATATGTTTATATTAGTAATGCGCAGACACAACATGATTCCCCCTCACGGAAAGAATGCGTAATCCTAAGTACAAACATACAATGAATGAAAAAACGATATTAAAGTTTGATAAGAGTTCAAAATCTCAAACATGCAACAGTTTAAATCCTTTTAACTGCATTAACAAACTAATGTTCTATAGATACAGTTCTTATGCTTATGAAAGTACATAGTCTCTCAAATATGCTGGCATAACTGTTATTCGTACTGGACGACTTTCGTGTGTAGGTAAGCTGTTAGCATTTGTAACTACTGGATGATGTTCTGGGTTCATCATTAAGTGTTCGCTAGGGAGTTCAGGTGGGAGTACGAATGAATCAGGTCTATGTGAACGTACACATCTTCTGGCACTCCATGCTGTACCATTGTCTAGTCTAAACGAAGACTTACCAAGTTTCATAACAATGCGATGTGGCTCAGAAAATGTAGAGGAGAGCTTATGGCTGCAATTTGGACGTTTAACTCTCACCCAGTCTCCTACATTCAGATTGGTGGATCTAGCGTGACGTCGTTGATCTGTGTAAGACTTGATTTTTGCTTGACGTTGTTCTATTTCTGACTTCATGTCTGTTTGTGCATTACCGAAACTGGTAGTGGGTGGTTTTAGTTTATCAAGTGGTAGACGCATTTGACGATTAAGCATAAGTTGTGAAGGTGACTTCTGAGTAAGTGCATGTGGTGTAGCTCTATAGTTCTGTAGTATTGTACGAACTGAATCTGCGAATGTCATTCCCTCCGACAAATTCGTCTTCAAACCCTCTTTTAGGCATTTATTGAATCGTTCCATTTCACCGTTACTTTGGGGGTTATATAATGATGTTAGATTATGTTTGATACCATGTAATTGTAGATAATTTTCGAACTCGTCTGAGATAAACTGAGGTCCGTTGTCAGTAGTGATGACTTCTGAAAATCCCTATCGAGTGAAAAGTTCTTCAAGAATCTTAATAACTGCTGTAGATGTGACCGTTCCTGTTGTTGCCACTTCAGGCCATTTGGAATGTAGGTCGTGTACTACAACTAAGAAACGTTGACTATGTGGTGCTATGACTATCTCACCAAATATATCCATTTGTATAGAGTTCCATGGTTCTGTCGGCCATAGCGTTGGTTGAAGTGGTGGTTGTTTTGGTCTAGTTGACTTGCCACTGATAGCGCAAGGCTCACAATTGCGGACGTAATCTTCGATCTGAGAGTCCATACCTGGCCACCATACTGTTTCATGACATCGTTGTTTCATACCAACTATACCTGGATGTCCGTCATGGGCCATTCGTAGGACTCGTTCCTGCAGGACTTCAGAAATAACTGCACGTGAACTATGAGCAATAGAGTATTCATTCCATACTGTAAGCTCATCGCGGAGGTTAGCGAATACTTTGAGATTTTGTGGCACACTTTTTGGCCAACCATTTTGAATATATGTGTCAACTCGTTGAAGCAGTGGATCATCACGAGACTGTTTTTGGAGTTCCTAGCTGTGACTAACCCATCTAAGTTAATTTCAAGAATGTCATTTTCAGTTTCTGTGTTTTCTGTATTGTGTACAAGACGACTTACTACCTTGCATGTGCTCTACATCAATGTTGTACTGCTAAAGCTTCACGTTCGCTTGTTGAGTATTTACGCTCGGTTGGAGACAATGTCCAAGAAGTGAATGCAACTGGCTTCTCTTCATCATTAACTATTTGTGACAAAACTCCTCAGATTTCATATTCCGAGGCATCTGTAGTAACATATGTTTTAGCATCAGGGTTGAAGTGTGCGAGAGCCGGTGGTGACGAAATCTGGTTCTTGAGTTTGTCGAATGCGCACTGCTGATCCTTAGTCCATTCCCATGGCTCATCTTTGCGTAACAGTTTATGTAGGGGTTCAGCTATGTGTGCGTAATATGGCACAAACTTTCAATAGAAGTTTGTCGTACCAGGAAATGATTGCAATTCCTTGACATTGGCAGGCTCGGGGAGATCCATAATTGCTTTCGTATTGGACTGTAATGGTAACACACCAGACGCTGATACTCTGTAGCCGACAAAATCAATCTCATCTTTCGAAAACTCACACTTATCTCTATTGAGTGTTAAATTGTACTTTCTCAGTTTGTTTAGCACTGTGTTAAGATGCTGGTCATGTTCTGCTTGGTTTGCACCGTGAATTGTAACATCGTCAGGTGTACAGCTCCCTCACAGTCGCTAAAAACAGAAGCGAGTATCTTTTGGAAGGCGCTTGGTGCTGATGAAAGTCCATATGGCATGCGCTTATACTGGAAGACACCCTCATGTGTTATAAATGCTGTGAGGTTCCAACTGTCTTCGGCAAGTAGTACTTGTAGGTAGCTACGACGCAAATCCAATTTCGTGAATACTCTGGATCCATGAAATTCGGAGGTGAGTTCACCAAGGTCAGGTAGGGGATACTTATCTGGTATAATGGCTTTGTTTACATCTCGCAAGTCTACACAAAGTCTAATATCACCGGACTTTCTGCATGCAACAACTAAATTTGAAATCCACGGAGAAGTATCAATGCGTTCAATAATGTCCAAATTCTCAAGACCACTCAATTCCTTTGAAACTTCCTCGCGTACTGTTAGCAGTAATCGTCAACGTTTCTGTGACACTGGAGAGATGTTTGTGGTCGGTGCGCAAAAGTAGTAATTTTCCCAAATCCAGAAAATAATTCAGGAAAGTTGTCAACAGCATCCACTGAGTTGACAATTGTATCATGTCTACTTATCTGAAATCAAAGTTGGTCGAATAAATCAATTCCCATTAGATTACTACCACTTTTTGTGACATAAAACTTGAAGTTCTGCACAGTTTGTTCATCATACTGTACTGGAAGATGTACTACACCAATAACAGGAATGTTACCTCCATTGTAGCTGGTTAACATTTGTCTAGTTGGTAGCAGTGGTATAGCTTTGAAGTGTTGTTTGTACAATTCCTCATTCAAGATGGAAACCTTAGCACCAAGGTCTAGTACTAGGTTGAGTCTAATCCCATTTATTGTCACAGCACAATTTTTGAAACTATTGTCAATAGCATTAACTTCGGAAACAGTATATATACTTGTTTTATATCCGAGTCCTTAATGGGTGTATCCACTTGTTTAACCTTTGTAGTTGCAGAGCTTCTACACATTCGTGCAAAGTGACCAATTTTATGACAATTTCTGCACTCTTGTCTGTTGGCTGGGCAGTCTGAGTGACGTGTAGTATGGTTATTAGTACCACAGTTGCGGCAACCTGAAAGTTTATTTTGTGTGGCCCGATTCCTATTACGGTAGTTGTTTTGAGTACGATTTCTGTTGTGCTGTCTCTTGTTAATACCTTGTATTTTGGGTTTTTCTTTAGTTTTACTTTTACTGGGTTTGGGTTCGAGTGACACTGTGTCAGACGCAATCACATGTGAATCAGA